ATATCTATATAGATATATAGATATCTATATATCTATATAGATATCTATATATCTATATAGATATATAGATATCTATATCGATATATATCTTAAAGTGGACCTTTTTAACCATATCTTTAAGATAACAAACACACCTTTAGAAATGTTTAGTAATGACAATCTACAGACACATACTTCTAGATAATTGCCGGCTTTGTATTCTTTGCATATCTTATTTCTCTTTTCTTTCTCAGTCTTCGGAAAGCGGCCATTTTCACTAAGGGCAGAATACTAGATCTGCTATTACTACCTGGATTTCTAGGACATTTGACTAGGACTTGTGACTAGAACATGTGACTATGCACGTTATCTCAGGGGAGTAAAATGCCTTTTCCTGATATCTCGTGAGATTTCCCTGCGATGCTCTGCTGATGACAAGGCGATCCCAGTGTGCATTGCTTTGGCAATTGGAAGTCATTTTGCCCTTTCAAAGCAGGAAGTGAATGCTCTGCAAGTGTAAATATTTCAAAATCACAGCATTGTACACCTGACATGTCTGTGTTATTATTAATCATCATACTTAGAGGGATGCATTGGTAGAATTAGATTTTTGAGTGTGAAGGTCCACTTTATAAACAGATTTGTGTTTCACAGTTTTCAGCTTAATATATACTTTACTGTATATAACTACTACGTCTCTATATGTTTGTAATTTGTCTGTAAAGTGTGCTTGTCATGTATATCTTTAATGTCTTGTTTTCAGGATGCCAGCTTATGACCACAACTGGTGGTATTCCATTTTCTTCATCGCCTACATTATTCTGAACACTTACATCTTCATGTCAGTCTTCTTAGCTGTTGTGTACAACAATTACAGGAAGCACTTAAAGGTAGATGACTTTTAATTTAATTAAATAGGATTAATAAATAAAAACAGAAATATACTGTACGGAAGGATGGTAGAAAGACCTTAGTCGATTATTTGAACCACATTATACAGTGGATATAAAAAGTCTACACAGCCCTGTAAAATGGCAGGTATTCTGAAGGGATTCTTGCCTTTTCCTACTCTACTAAAGAAAACCTTTTTAATTTCTGTCTGTGTTGCTGTTTGGTAATAGAATGTCAGTTAGGGGGAATCCGTGAGCCCCACATATCAGTAGAAACCCAACAGAGGTTGTAATCCTTAAATGCTCTATCCAAGACTAAAATTAAAATCTTTGGGCTAATACGGTTTATAATGCCTCATTTTAAATGGCATCCCAACGCTTTTACCTGATGCACATGTGTTGCAGCACACGACAACGCATGGCTGTGGTGTGCTGCAGCATAACAAAATGGGGCATCCGATTTTGGTCCCTTCTGGTGCATTAGCAGCCTAATCATTTGAATGGTAAGCAGTGGGGATCCATGGAGTCTCTCATCCCTCCCTGGGATGGCTCCAGGGAGGGATGAGAGACTCCAGATGTCGGCGGCCAGCAGCTGCGGTGCCGGCGGGGGGGGCGCCCGGTATTTTTGATAATAGCAGTCATCAGCGGCTTGTGAGCCGCTGATGACAGCTATTAATTTAAAGGGGACAGTCTGCTGAACAGTTCTACTATAAGCTGCTGGTCGCTAAAGCGACCATCAGCTTATGGTAGAACTGTAAATGCCAGGTCTGTATGGCATACTGACCTGGCCAGCTGGAAGCACTTTTGTAGGTCCGTATGCCATACATCCTTGGCAGCGAAAGGGTTAATGCAACGCATGTTGGCATGTATAAAAATAAAAAACAATGCGCTAGAACAGGTCTGAAATGATGCTAGTTGTGTGCCTATAAGTAGTGACCATAGTCTGTTTGTTTGTTTGTTTTATTGAAGTTAAACTGAATAAGAAAACTCCTGATATACAGTACATTTATTGTGACTTTAAATCAAACTGACTTTTTTTTAAAAAGAATTCTTAAATACAGAAACTAATGGAAACCAATCAGAATTCACTCTGATATAGCCAGACCAGCACACGATGAATCCTGTTTGATTTTAATAGGTTACTGTACATATAGCAAAAGGATCTTTAATTAATATCAAAGGTGTATATATTCATTTTAGTAAAACTGGTGGTTGGTAATAGCTCTAACTAATATTTTTGCCTACCAACTGAACATTTTTATTTCCAGAATGAGATCCGTAAGCTAGCGTACATGAAACGGCGCAAGATGGCAGAGGCATTTAATGCACTTAAAGTAAAAGAAGGCTCAGATTTTGTTATAACAGAGACCACATGGAACAAACTGGTGAAGTTGGTGGCACCAGATATCAGTAACTCTCACAGAGAACTTCTGCTAAGAGTGTCTAAAGAAGAAAACCAAAGATACGTGGGTAAGGAAATACACACTGTAAATACTTTTAGATTTTCTATGATAATTCACTGTTTTAGACTAGAAAAATGTATCAAGTAGGGATGCACCAACAGTGATACTCGTATCGGTGCTGATACCGAGTATTTGGGTGAGTACGAATACTCGTACTCGCCCAAATGCTCCTATACCTTCCCCAATACCAGGACTTCCGGTTCCGGAAGATTTTCTCTGACCGGCAGGGCCGTAGGGGAACATGGAGCCAGCTTCCCAGCAATCAGGAAGTCGGGCGGCGAGTAATGACCAGCCCCCTGGCTTCCTGATTGGCCGGGAAGCTGGCTTCCCAGAAAGCCTGCTCCATGCCAGTTGAAGCATCGGTATAGGTACTCGGTGTCGGCGAGTACCGAAAGCAAAATATCGGTACTCGATACTGAAAAAACGGTATCGGTGCATCCCTAGTATCAAGATTCAGTTAAAACCATTTCCTTCTCTGGATATGTCATTATTGCGTAGTAGGTTCTCAGTTATGCATGGGAAAGAGCTGATGCTCCAACATCAATAGCTCATAGGTGCTTATAGACGTCATTGTTGTTAAAGCAGGATGCAGCGCACAGGAAAAGAAATGCTTTTTAAACACTTATTAAACATTATTACATAATACATCCTCCTCTATGTAGTATTATTATTATTTGTATTATTATTATTTTGTAGTCTTTCCATGATATGTATGTAAACATGCCTATACTTGAGAGATTATTGATTAATATAATTTTGGAGCAGTTATGTAAGGCGATTTATTAAAAACAAAATACTCACTTGTAAGGAAGACGGTATTGGTTGTTTAGTTATGGAGTCAGGCTAAATAAGGGATGTATTTGCTTCTTATCTAATAGTACCCTTTTGAAATTCAGTGAGGGGAATTTATCAAAATTGGAGCAGTTGTGCATGGCAACCAATTAGCTTCTCTCTTTCATTTTCAAAGCTTAAAGGAGAACTATGAGGTGAGTGCTTTTCATTCACCTCATAGTTCTAGCCGACCTGTGACAAGGTGGAGGTGAGCGAACACATACCGGCGTGCCGTGACAGGGGAGGGGCTGGATTCCCCCCTCCCGATCCGCCAGCACTGACTGGTGGAACAGACGGGGGAGGGGGCGGGTACAGCTGGCTCTGCCTTTTAGATAGGCAGAGCCAGCTGTCAGTCACGCAGCTGGGCGGATCCAGAAATAATTGTCAGGATCCGCTTCAGCTGCGGGGTCTTAGTATACCGCGAGCAGCAGCTCGCGGTATACTGAGCCTAGGGTGATGGGAGAACGCTAGTTTGTGTCCTCCGTTACCCTAAGGAGAACTATGGGGAAAAGCCCTAACCCCATAGTTCTCCCTTAACTGAACGAACTGGAGATAGAAGCTGATTTGTTAGCATGAGCAACTGCTCCAGTTTTTATGAATCCCCCCTCCCCTAAAAATCTTTAAATTTGGAAGTTTTTTTTGGATCCAGTAGATTTGTGCAACAATCCGAGATTCTGATCATAACAAACATCATGAAATTACAGCAGCTTCTCTCTCTTACTCAGGGAAAGATGCTTTTATCCGTTTAGCTGACTTGTTGAACATTAAAGTGATCACATTGAAAGCTCGAATGCACCCAATTGAATGCTGGATGCCTCATTTGTACAGAAGTGCAGCAAGTCGCTTTATACGCAAGGTCGTCCATCATAAGTAAGTTTACTTTATAGTGCAGTTATGATAACAGATTTGCTTGTGTCTTTGCTACAACTTTCCTATAACTTTTTTTTTTTTTCCCATTTCAGAGGATTTGTGTATGCTTATGATGTTATCATTCTAGTGAATGCCATTTTTATCGCCCTGGATGACCGAAACCCACAGATATCCCACGCAGAGTGGGTATTCCTTTCCCTCTATATTATAGAAATTCTCCTGAAACTCTACACGTACGATCCTAGGACTTTCTTTGCCAAGAATCAGTTTTGGAACTGGTATGTTTTTCCGCTTTACTTTTTTTTTTAGTCCATAAGAGATTTTTTTTCTGTGAAAAAATGGTGGATACTTTAAAATTAGAAGTTAGCATATTTGGGATTCTGGGGGACCATTTAAGTGATAGAATACAGGTAAATAAATGCACACACGCCTATCTCTGAAAGGTGTGGCTGTACTATTGTAGATTCAATTTCTATCAAATGCCCATTTATGATTAGTTCTCTGTAACTTAAAAGCATGATTGTGTCTTTTAATTATTTTTGTATTATTAGGGAATTTAAGTTAAATACATTCCAGGTGCTTCAAAACCAAAGGTGTGCAAGTTCTTATAGTTAATGTTCTTTACAAAGCAGCCACAACCTGAGTAGAAAAGCCTGTGCTCTGACTGAATGTTGTTTGAGAAGGACCCTTGCATCAGGGGACAGACCTTCCACTCATGATGTGGCTGCTATCCAAAGAAAACAAATGTAAGACATTGCACACATTTTGTTTTAATGCATCTGGGACATATTTAGCTGCTATAAAGAACACCACCAGGCAATCAAAAAATTAACCCTTGCAGTGGGGCTACACCCACACCGGTTTTGTAGCCAAGTGGGACCAAGATCAGGTGAGTGTATTTTCTTGATAGCTCCTAGACCAAAACAAGTAGTTCACACTTGCAGTACAGGGGTAGCTTCTGAGGTCACTGAGATGTATGTACCAGTCCAAGTGAATTTGAGGAAGAAGCCTTGGAATTGCACAAGGATCCATATTGTTATCAAGTTTTGGAACAGTACACAGATGCAGAGCATGACCTACAGTTCTCTGACAAAGGTGGAGCATTTAACCGTATCTTTTAGGATACATTTCTAGTCATTACAGTAGCAATTAGGATAGGGAGGAACAGAATAGTAGGTGAGTATTTTTTTTTTATATTTTCATTTTATTTATTCATTTTTATGAAATATTTTTATTTTTTACTTTTACAGTGCTTCGGGGAAATATTGAGGGTCTACACAGACCCTACACAGACCCTTGATATTTCCCTTTTATAATAGAAAAAGCGATTGAGAACACAATCTCTTTTTTTCTGCAGCCCCTGTTATAAATGAACAGGAATCCTCTATACTGAGTGTTTCTGTTCATTCATAACTTGAGGACAGAGTATGTTTACTATAATTACAATCATGAATGAACAGGAGGTGATGTAAATTCCCATTCATTCATAATTGAGGATATAGTAAACATACCATGTCCTCAATTATTTACAAACACTCGGCGATCGCTGAGTGTTGGTACCACTCTCCTGTGTCAGTGAACGAGCAGAGCTCAGCCTGCTGTGACAGCGCTGGCTGTCTCCGCCCACAAACTGCTCTGCTGATCTGTGACAGGAGGATGAGCAGTGCGGGGAGGAGCGACGCCAGCCGCTCACAGCGCACTCCTCCCACAGCGTTCGGCCGCCTGTGACAGTTTCTCTCCTTCCCGCTGGGACACAGAGCAGCACCCAGCGGGGAGGAGAGAAGGAATGGATGCACCGCTATATCGGCCAGAAAATTGCACTTTTGGTATTTTGCCAAAAGTGCCATTTTCGGCCGCTATGTTTTGGCGGCCGCTATATCGGTGCATCCCTATAGTAAACTATGATGATGTCAAAAAGTCTATAAAACGACTCAATTTGGTATGAAGATTAAAGGGGGGGGGGTTATTGATGAGGTGAGGCCTTCACGTAAAAGAGCAATGAAGTAAGGGGAGAGGGAAAGAAAGAGGAAGTAAAGAATGAAAAAAGGAGGGAAGAGGGCAGGGGAAAATGAGGAAGAGAGCATGAAGATAGTAGAGATCAAAGAAAAGGATATAGTCTCCCGTCCGGATGGAAACAGTGGTATGGATCAGATGGAAAGGGGGGGGGGACGACACCTGGTGAGTTCAGCATAGGTATCTGTATCCGTGAATAGATGCCATTTCGTCCGGATCTTGAGATGACAAGACATATTCTCTTTGCAGGAGTGGATCAGTTCTTCCATTTCTGCCATAGCGTTCACACGAAAAAGCCATTCTCTGGTTAATGGTGGCTGAGGTGACTTCCAGTGTCTAGGAATCGCTGTTTTCTCTGTCTTTAGTAGGTGTAGCATCAGTGAGGTTATGGATGCATGGAAAGAGGCATCAAAATAGTATTGCAGAAATGTGGCAGGGGAAAACTCCCACGATTCACCAGTGATGACTCTAATAAGACCGTGTACTGCTGTGCAAAAGGAAGCGAGAAGAGGGCACGACCATCAAATGTGAAGGAGAGTTCCAGTGCCATGGGAGCAGCACCAATATGTTTCCAGGATGTCGGGGCAAAAACGGTGAAGCACCACTGGAGTTTCATACCACCATGAATTTGAACATTGAGGGAAATAGTAAGCATTAGTAAGTTTATTCATTCCCATTCCTCCGGAGTAAAAGATTGAGATAAATCACGCTCCCATGCTCAGGAGGAGAGTAAAGTTGGTGGGGAAATGGAAACAGCCAAAGAAGAATAGATTTCTGAAATCGTATGTGTAACCCGGTTTGTGGAGGTGCACAGTTTCTCAAAATACGTAAGTGGGCATGTAAAAAAAAAAAAATGCTTGTTCCCACCAGAGTGGAGGAAGTGGTAAATTTGCAGGTAAGTCCAAAACGGAAGAGGCCTGGGAGGGTTGGTGGAGTTCAAATCATGGAGAGATTTAAATGTCCCCCGACGGTCAAAGAACATGTTTGTGATCGAAGCGGTATCGGGTGTCCAATTCTGCAAAAAAGTACGGTGGTGACCGGGAGGAAAGGCCGGGTTCATGCGAACCAGGGTGAGAGGACACAAAAACGAAGAGCGGGTCGGACCTTTTACAAACCGTGGCAAAAATACGTAGCGTGGTGCCAACAGTAGGGTGAGAAAGCACCTGAGCAGGAAGGAAGGAGCGTTGGATCCATGGCCAAGAGCCAACAGGAATCTCGGAAAGAAGCGGCTAAACATTAACCCAATCCTTGCAAGACGCATGGGCGTTCCAGACCACGATTCAGGATAAGTGGCAAGCCCAGTAGTAACACTGTATATGTGGAAAGCCAGTACCTCCTGTCCGTTTTGTCAAAGTGAGGGTGTCTTTATTAATCCGTAGCGTTCCATTGTTCCAGAAAATGGTCATTTCAACTAAAGCTACAGGACCTAGAAGTGATAAGGCTAAGGTTTTTCATTTTAATACGGTCTGGTATATGTCTTTAAAAAAGAGATGGAAAATTTCTGTGGTAGAAGGATTGGTAATCTGGCATAAGATGGACTCCTACATTTCTGATGGAGGTGGTCTTTCAGAAGTAGGGGTAATAGCTTTTTTAAGTGGAGGGTTTGTAGCTTAGCTGCGTTGATTTTGTAACCTAAATGGTGACTATTCTGTGTTAGTTCCTGGTGGAGGCTGAACATTGCAGTGAGGAGTTGTGTGACTCATCTGCAAATAGAGATGAGGTAAAAAGATTTATTTATTTGAACATCTTTGATATTAGGGTTATGAATTAGGGTTTTTTTTAGCATTTACTCATGTCTGCATACTGGTGCGTCCTACATTCTTTATAGGCCTTTTAATGGTGCTTAGCGGAAATACAAACCAGTAATTGTGCATTGAATATTAACCATGAGTGTACTTGCTTATGTACTGGCCCTTGCGGTTTGACATTTTTTTGTACTATTTTGATAGGTTTGACACCTTTATCATCATTGCTGCCCTTATTGCCACCGTAGTCAACACAGGACTGAAATCAGGTATATGTCTCATGCATGAAGCTTGAACCTCATTTAAATTGACTTTGCATATGGTTAATTTAAGGATTTCCTATCAGATATGGTCTGATTGTTTAACTGTAATGTATACTGCCTTGTCACACAAACATTTATTGTATACTTCTATTTTCTTTACACCCCTTATTTTAGACCCAATGACATTGCTGGATCTCGGTGCTTTTCTTGTATTTGGGAACAGTTATGCAAATATCAAATACCTTGATGGGTAGATATCGGTCTGGAGGTGTGGGCATTTCTAGATTGTCCTAGGTAATGCCCACATGTGATGCTGAGCCTCCATGATTGGAAATACTGCAATTAAAGGGGCAGACAGGGACAGTGGGACTGAGGGTGACAGATGATATGATGCTGGATATTCTCCAGCCTGAAATGATGGTGAGCTCTGTCTGCCTTACTGAAGCTTCTAATGCACACCATGAGAAGCTCAGTGTGTAGTGAATTCAGACTAAGCCATATCAGTACATGTGTTGATGCAACGGATTGTACATGATCAAAAATTCAATTTTCTATGTGGCTGATTGACATTAGATGTTGCAGTTTTTAGTGTTTATAAAGTGAAATGATTAGGACACATTCACTCCTATGTGCATAGCTGTGAATAGAAATTGTTTTATGATTGGGTTTGTTCCCAAATAAGTGACATTTCGCTGTCATTTCTTAACCCTTCCTATTATGTGCCACAACGGTTTAAATTGTGTTTAAATGCATACAGTTTCATTTTGTTTTTTTACTAACATTTACCTGCTGATTACTCCACAGGGAGTCAGTACGACAGCCAGCAAGTCCTAGAAATTGTCTTTATTCTCAGGGTCCTCCGACTCATCAGGATCATTGACAGTATTCAAAGGTATCTATAGATTCTATCTATATATTGGATATACATGTAGACTTGTGCATACACATACAGTTGTGTGAAAAAGAAAGGGCACCCTCTTTGGATTCTATGGTTTTAAGTATAAGGACATAATGAAAATCATCTGTCCCTAGCAGGTCTTTAGAATTAGGTAAACACAATCTCAGATAAACAACAACACATATTACACCGTGTCATTATTTATTTTACAAACCTAAAGCCAAAATGGAGTAGCCAAGTGTGAAAAACTAAGTACACCTTATGATTGAATAGCCTATAGAACCATCGTTAGCAGCAATATCTTGAAGTAATCGTTTTCTGTCTGACTTTATCAGTCTCTCACATCATTGTGGAGGAATTTTGTTCCACTCTTCTTTACAACGTTCAGTTCATTGAGGTTTGCGGGCATGTCTGCGTCCGAGTATGGATACCCCCATGGATGTGCAGCCCAGGTGGGTGTACGACAGCGTACGGCCGCGTCCTCCCATAGGGAAGCACAGGCGGCTACATACAATCACACACAGCACCTGTCCCTCCCGGGAACAGCCCGATACAGCTGTGCACGCCGCACGGCTCTGTATGGTCCCACTCTACGCTGTGTGAATGAGCTAATAAATATAAGAAATCTCTATGAAGTGCACAGGTTTTGCACAGCAAATATGTTACTGTGTATTGTTATTGAATCAAGCTTCTGAGCATTTGCATTGATCCCTCTTTTCCAGATTTCGAGTCATCGTGAATACACTGATAAACATCCTTCCTACCATGCTGACATTTTGCGGTATTATCTTAGTAGGTAGTTTTGTTTTGTTGTGTTAACATCGTTCTATTATCTCAACATAGGTGTATCTTTTATTTTATGTGCACAATCATAGATCTCCAACACTGGTCTGATATTATATGGAGAAAAAACAGTCAAGTTTAATTTGTATTCCCTGGGAAATAAATACGGATTCTGATTGGCTGCTAAAGGCAGATGCTTTACTTTGGTTCTTTTTCAAAATGTCTTTTTCTTTTAAGGTTTCCTTTGTCCACTTTTTATACCCCAGCTGCTGTAATACTGGAGAAGAAAAGTCTTGCCTGTAAAAAAAAATAAAAGGCATATCAATTATATTTTCTACATGCCCTTTGCTTTTTAGTCTGGGATCACGCCACATACATTGGGGCTTCGTTTTTTCTTTCCAGCTCAGCCCCAAGGCAATTTGCCTTGTTTTGAATGAGCTCAGTTGACACCACCATGTTGCAGTGGTGTGCGCTGAAAAAAAGTACGGCACGCAGTATTTTTCCCATTGCAGCAGGATGCAATGTGGTACAACCACCTAGCACCCCGCTGTGCTCATAGAACTTAATGTAATGTCACTTGTGACATTTCAATAAAGTATTAAAAAAAGGGATAAACAGTGCAGTGTGCGGAGATTGGCGCATATGCACTGTTTCGGGCAATGCACACCAGCACCTTTACGTTGTAGTCCAGCTGCTTGTGTGAATGGGCCCTTAAGGAAGATCTGTTCAAAATAATATGTCACATAAAATATGTTTGCTTGCTTTATGTTAAGTTCAAACAAAAAGAAAAACTGTTGCTTCAAAATTCCCTGGATCGATTAACTGCTTGATCTCTCTCCAGATGCTGGTCAGCGAGGCTCACTGCTGCCTTGAATATCTCCACATTAAGGTTCAACCGCATTCTGTATGAATCTTTGCCAAATTCAAAAGTTTTATTTACAATCTCCATAACGCATTGTGATACAAGAATCCCATAGATCAGCATCTTACACATTCACATCACGGGTTACTCTATCTTAAGCCGTGATGGTGAAACACGTAAGAAACTTATCCATGGGATTCTTGTATCACAATGTGTTATGGTGATTGTATGAATCTTCACCAAATTCAAAAGTTTTATTTACAGAGTGCGGTTGAACCTTAATGTGGTGCTTTCTATGTGTTGATTCACTTTGTACTGGCCTACGAACCTGTTCACACTTTACCACACCAGAGCGTGTGTATTGACCGGCATTCCTGCTATGCAGGAAAACGCGTGACACACTTGCAGTGCCATTACTTGTTAATAGCACCCCAAACGTAAATGGAAAACATGCGTCGTAGCCCGTCCAGTCAAAAAACACATGAAGCGTAAACTGCTGCATGAGCCTCTCTGCCAGGTATGTCGCGCATAGAGCAGCCCATTAAAATGAATGGGCTGCCCTGTGTTGATGCATGATAAAACGCGCATAAACATGATGTGTGCCACAGTTGTGAACAGTGCCAAAAGCCAGTTACAATACAATTGCCAATTTTGCAGTCAATATGTAAATGGAACCATATGAAATTGATGTAGAATCCGCTAGTCTGACAAATTTAATTTCCCTTTGTACCTATATTCCATTTTTCAGTTCTTATTTTATGAATCTTAACGCTTGGACATTTTTGAGTTGTGGTAAAGAATATATATAGATAGCATAAAAAGCAAGTTTGTATTTTTGTCAGTACGTTAATCCTGTTTATGCCTCTTTAGGTTATATATTATGTGTTTGCCATTATTGGAATGGAAGTCTTCAAGGGCAAAATCCGTTTCTTTCCTGAAAATTCCACAGACCCTTATGCACTGGAGTGTGGAGCAAAAGCCTTGAAGGACTCTGCTTTTGCTAAAAGCAAATATTGCAAAAATAACTTTAACAATATAGGATACACGTTCATCGTATTAGTGGAGCTGACTGTCGTCAACCAGTGGCACAATATCCTTTCATTACAAATACGTTATAATAACTCATAGAATAGTTTCTTATAAGGTTGTCAAGGACAAAAGAGGCCAAGTTGATTGCCATCAGGTATCTGGTGCTGTGGCTAGTTTTATAAATGTAAACAGTTGTCATGTGTCGCCTTTCAGGTTTAGCCCATACATCAGGGTGTGGGAGACTCTTTCCAGCTAATGAGCACCACTGCAAGAGGGGTGGTTAACAATAACACCAATGTTGGGGCGGGGGGTTTTATTGTGGTCACTGACATCAGTGCAGAGGGTTATTATTGTGGTTTCAAGCAACAATGTTGGGGGTTTCTTGTGGTCACTGACACCAATGCTTGAGGTTATTATTGCAGTCACTGACACCAGTGCTTTTTTTTTTTTTTTTTTTTATTGTGACCACTGACAAAATGATGACTCCATCTTTCTTTTCAGTGTACATTGCGGTACGGTGTAAAAAATGCAGTAGGGCCAAAATTTGTGGGAGTTGCATAATACATGGGCTGTCTAACTCAACACGCAGAATCGCGCTTGTGTTCTGGAGGCGTCTGGGGCTGCACTCGAGGCTCTCTATATTTTCGAGCTTCACTAGTATAACTGCAGTATTTAAAATGTATTACATTTAAATATGATGTTACCTTTCTTAATATCTTACTTATTGCTACTGGATTTTCTCTGGTAACTCATCCAGCAGCTAAAATTTACTTCATGATGTTCCATGTGGTTATTGTCATCATGATAATCAAGTAAGTTTTACAATTTTCAATATTGTTAGTTTGTTATGTAGGTAATGCTTAGCCCCCATTTTCATTTGGAAGAATTCAATTCTTTATCTTGTCACTTATGTGACATTTCCGAACCATATATGAAATGTTTTAAATACTTTGCACTTTCAGAGATTTTCTGTGAGAAGTAGTTGTATTGAGAATAGCCGATAGCTATTTTAAAAGCACATTCAACTACATGCACAATAGAACTGCATGCAGCCGTGCCAACATACATTGCACAGCCGTGCCAACATACATTGCACAGAAACAGTCCAAAGTTTTTGCTATCAGGATGCCAGTCCAATGCAATGATGTGCAGGCGACGCTAGACCAAGTGCATGTAGACAGTGACTGAAATGCTGACAGAGATCAAGAGCACTGAGATGCAAAAAGGTGAAAACCGTATTATATGAAAAAAATGTCCATTGTTTCATAAGCAGTGCTATAGAAAACAAAATGCCATCAAGGTAGGAATTTCCTGTTCCTACAGCATAATGGTATTGCATATGAAAAAGATCAACTTCAGCTTATATAAGTTATACAATATCGCTTGGGTGATTTTATAGGTAATGTCAGCACAATAGGTGCAAAAGTTACTCAACTCCCAAAAGAGAATTTAGATTTGTTTCCTTTTTATGTACCCACCACCATCACAGATACTGATGTATGTCTTATTTCTCAGCATCTTTGTAGCATTTATTTTGGAAGCTTTTTTTGTTGAGTATTCGTTGGAAAGGAGTGAAGTTGAAACCACTATTGAGAGGAAGATTCAGGAGTTGGGTATGGGTGTGCAAGAGTAAGTGACACGTAATTCTCTATTTAATTTACTGTGTACACAGCAGATACAAAGTTACTTGCATTCGGGAATATTTACTATGTGATAACTATTTTTACAACCACAAAACAGTTATATTTTATTGTATTGTCATGGCCAAGCATTGGTTGAATAGTTACTGTAAATGTGGCTCTCAGCACTGTTTGAGGTTGGTCAAAGATGACAGTCTCTACAGCTCAGCTTTAAAGTATCTGAGTGTTCTAAACACATCAAGATAGATTACATCTAAAGGTGCCCATACACCTTACAACCATCGCAAGACTTGTGTCTTGCGATGGTTGGTTGTAAGCTTATTAAAAGCTCGTACGATCTGCCCATCTTGGACAGGCAGATCGTGCTGGTGATCATTGAAAGCCCGCCACGCTGAGGGGCGGGCTTCCGATGACCGCAATGCTGAACGTGCAGTGTGCGAGTGCGCACACCGGCCCGTTCCGCAGTTGTCGAACGAGCCCGCCGACAATCCTACGATTCTCGGCGGGTTTTCTAGCATGCTTCTTCGACAAAAGACGTGCGACCGTACAGTAGAAATGGTTGCACGCCTTCCATACACCTTGCGATTATCGTACGATCGCGGGATTTCCCGCGATTATCATACGATAATCGCAAGGTGTATGGGCACCTTTACTACAAAAGAAGACAATCGTGGGCAACAACTAACCAGTCATACCTGTATTCTCTGAATAGTCTAAACTGTCAGTGTAAATGACTATGTGACATACTAATAACTACCCTTTTGCACGGGTATAGTCCCCTCCGAAAAGCAGGGTATCCATGCACAAATCTACTGCTGATCAGAGCAGTACAGAATGTATATCACTCTTGTGACATCCTTGTTTGTTCAGTTTATCTTGCAATGGAGGGGAAAAAAACGAACTTACCAGCACCCATGTTAGTTTTATGGCGGTCGAATGTAAGCAGACTTGTGTCCATTTACATGCGATTACCTCCGATCCATCCAATTCAGGTCCGCCAATATGGAACGCTCTTTGGGTTTTTTTTTCTGACCTAGATGGACTAAACTCCCTATAGACTAAGACTGGGCACACACCTTACAACCATCGCAAGACTTTTGTCTTGCGATGGTTGTAAGGTACTTAAAAAAACGTACGATCTGCCTATGTTGCATAGGCAGATCGAACTTGCGATGATCACAAGCCACGCCCCCTGAGGGGCGGGCTTCCGATGACCGCAATGCCGAACGGGCAGTGTGCGCTTGCGGCTGTTATCGTACGGACATGCCACAAACCCGCCGAACATCGTACGATGCTCGGCGGGTTTTCGAACATGTCCGTAAATTTAAAGTCGTGCGACCTTACAGTAGTAGAGGTCGCACGGCTTCCACACACCTTACGAACATCGTACGATCGCGGGATTTCCCGCGATTATCGTACGATAATCGTAAGGTGTGTGGGCACCCTAACAATTAGTTTCTGATCAGGTCCTCCTGAAAGACTGACAGACGGGCCTGATCAGAACACTGTTTGAAAGGGGCCTTACATTAGCATCAGTTTATCTTTTCATACAGTCTCTTTTTATATTCAGTGCTGCCAAACTATGATATATTATTGAGCATGTTTATTTATTAGATTACAGCTCCCCATACAGGTTACAGCCTGACTGTACAATTCTTGTACAATCTCCTTAAGACTTGGTAAGACTACTGTATGTAATACACCGATCTGCATAAAGGTGTGTGTCAATATGTGTCAGAATTCATAGACAGATGTGCATTTGACCTGCTTCAAGCAGCTTCTGCATGCTAATAGACTTGTATGGGAATGAAAACCTGTGTATCAACACAGTCCTATCGGCCCCTGCACTGCATAATTAGTTTATCTAAAGAAGATTGTTCATGTGCTTTGAGTTTAACCAGCTTTAAAAATGTTGCTGCATCATCTGTAATGAGGAATATAGCTGGAATGCTGGCCAACCTACTGTATATTCTGGGAAACTATAAGCATTTTCCAGGGTGATCACTGCAGTAATCTGTACAAAATTCACATAGGGCAAACCCAGGATGTAAAAGTTTATTATATAGATTGTTAATATTATTGTGAGAAGTCCCGGTAATGAATGGTACAAACATGTGCCCTGTGAGTATACATATGTTGAGGTATATATATATTGCCTTACCTCTACTAATTATTTAGAACAATGTGGTATCCCCTGAAAATGCTGAAGGTTGTCCAAGCAACTTTTTTACGGCAGTGTTGTGCTACAGGAGATGGTTCTCATACCATTTACTGGCTGATGGACAAGAATTAGACATCAGGTCTGTTCATGGTATCTGTGCTACCCCATTATTCTAGCTCTGTCTGTCTGTATCAGTCGTATTTTTATGATGTTTTTATAAATACTAATTCGTTTTTGTTTTTAATGTACATTTTTGACTATAATGGTATTGATTTTTCCAAAGGGACGATCATCTTTCTGGGAACTTAGTAGACAACATGGAAAACGGTGAAAATGATACTGGAACATTTGGAGAGGCAGATCAAAAAGGACTGATGTTTCGAATAGCTTCAAAACGTATGTATTTTGTCATGAATTATACGATTACTACACTTCAGCAGTGAAATTACTGGGCGGGTAACTCTTTATATATTATAAATTGTCATGATGTCCCTTATTTTGCAAATTGACATTGAGGGGAATTTATCAAAACTGGAGCAGACAAAATCTGGAGCCGCAGCCAATCAGTATCCACCTTTCATTTTCAAACCTTAACTAAACAAACTGAAGAGAGAAGCTGATAGGTTGCCATAGGCAACTGCTCCAGATTCTTCTGCTCCAGTATTGATAAATTCCCCCCCTTATGTTAATATTTCTCCACTGAGTGGTATGTGCATCTCAGGGAACTAATCTGATTCTACCTGTGTACATTCAATATAAGAGTTCCAAATATCACCAAAGAAATCCTAAAATAAGTTTTTGGACCCCTGCAGATATATAAATAATAAAGGGAATATGGTTTTCTTTTTTTAAAAAGATGATTCCTCCTTATTAACCGTTCAAAGAAGCTTCGTCCTCAGTCTTAAAGTTTGGTTTTTGCACCCCGTGCTGGTGCTGTACTCTCACACCCTTGGTGCCCCCTGTCTTGTATTGGAAGTTTCACATGGTAAATTGCTTTTTTCTTCCGTCAATTTATTTCTTGTGCTATTTATTTCTTTGTCAGTTGGTTTACTTCAGGAAGAGGAAAGCGGACACTTGCCAAAAGGCTGGACATTCACAGCACTGTTTTCAGTATCAAATAGATGGGGTGAAAGTAGTAGGGAGACAGCCTGAAGGGGTTTCATGAGGGTGCCGCCCATTCTAAACCAGGATCTCTAAAAGAAAACCTGGAAATTAATCTCCACTAACAATCCAAAAAGTCAAAGCATGTGTGGCACAGAAAGGGTTAGTAACCTGAAAATAATAAAGCTGGAGTGACCCAACACATTAAATCCGGTTTCAGCTGCTCAGATGGCAGACAAATAAAATCAGTCCATTTTTTAATAGTAATATTCTGAAAAGTCTGTGGACAGTAATAGAGTTCAAATGTTAGGAATGATTTGTATACTTTAACAAATAGTCTAATATACTGTATAGCCTAAAGTAAATGTGTTTGCTTCCTTAGGGTACAGAACAGTGGATGCCCTGTTACAGCGTATGTTTGAAGCAGAAATACCTCCAGAAGATGAAGGTCCTGCATTGGAGGACATAATGAATCTGTCTGCTAACGATTATTACATTGAAAACCCAACATTCAACTCGGCATCCTAGAGTTACTATCTGTGACATCACATACTATCACATACTATCTGTGAAAATGGACTGGAATCCAATGGACCAAATGTTTATGTGGGGGCACTGATACACCACAATGCTCATCTAATAGAAATATTTATTTTTATAGAGAAACATTCTTTTATTAGAAATATAGAAAAACAAATAAGCAAAGTGCAATGACCTGTTTCTAATAAAATGAAAGAATATCTAGTCTCCCTGTATAAAGCACAGGATTAATGGACAGCAGTCAAGTTCTTTCCTTATGAGTAACTGGCCACAATGCACTTTGTCTATCATGTCCAGGCATTGAAGCCAGCCACAAAGAAACCGATCTGTAGGAACCAAAAAACTATTCCCAACCAAAGAATTGTATTCGTATTAGCACTGGCTATGCCCACAAAAGGCTTTTTGTGTACATGTACTTTGCAGTCTATTTAATCATTGCTTTTCCAAATTAAAGATACCCCCCCAGCACAATGACTCTGTTTATCTGTTTCTACAACTTTTGTAAATCCTTTACCACTGGCACTGTCTGGGAAGCACAACTTCACTGAAAATGACTGTGAAAGGTGGCACTTTTATTAATTGGATCAACCTGTGTTTATATCTTGTAATAATACAAATTCTTATGTATGTGGCCTCGACTGTTACACAAAAATTCACTTGTCCCTCTGAAAACAATCTGCCAAGAAATGAGCATTTATAATAATGTCCAAAAATCTTTCTGAGATAGTTTAGATCCTCTGTGTAAGCTTGTTGTTTCCGTAGAAGAATCTGCTATCTTCAAAGACTTCAAGGATACAGTCTGGAGGAAAGGAAGGAAGTGATGTCATCCAATGCATCCAGCCACACGGCTCATTGTCAGTATAGGAATGTAATCTCAGTTTTTCCTTTCCTACGTTTGTGTGGGTATACAAAATATAACCCAACCAGATGGTGAATGTTCATGAAATCAAAATCCTTCACCCCACCCAAAAAAAACAATTATGTACAGACTTTTCATCAAGTTTACCTGAACTTTTTATTATATTTTATTGACTGCTTGATAGATGCTATGAAATTATTACTAATGACAATCTGATATGTAAATGTACAGCTGTCTGCGTTGGATTTTTTGATAATGCCAATTTAAAGCATTCAAATCATGGTGAAAAAATTATTTACAGAATATATTAAATGAACTGTATAAGTACATTTTGTATGCCAAATAAATTATTTATACACACATGAAGGTCTGTATGTATCACTTCATTGTTTTGGTATCTTTATTCAGTGACTCTGTTGGAGACCGTGTACATAAAATAAAAGAGAATTTGGGGTCATTGTTGGAGACAGTGTACATAAAATAAGAGAATTTGGGGTCATTTGAACAATTTTATGCAGTAACAATCAGCAGCAAAACACATGCAAGTATAACTGGTATGTAATAGGCTGCTCATGCCTGATCATTTCAATGGCTATAACTGTTTTATATATAGTGTATCCCTTGCTGGAGTGTCTGGAAACATGTATAAAAGGAATTGTGCTGAGGGGAAGAGGCTGATTTGTTTCAGGTGTTGTATGAAAGCAGGCATCGTTTTATGTGTACATGCTAGTCAAGCATGTACATCTATAGAATGCTTTCTTCATAACTCTTAAGGTGCCCATACACTGCTCGATTCTCGGGCGAAATCCCGCAATCGTACGAGAATCGAGCAGTGTGAACGAAGACGTGCGACCGTTTCTACTGTACGGTCGCACGTCTTTTGTCGAACCAACATGCTCAAAAACCCGCCGAGAATCGTACGATTGTCGGCGGGTTTCTAGCCTGCTCGTCCGATAGCTGCGGAACGGGCCGGTGTGCCCGTTCTGCATTGCGGTCATCGGAAGCCCGCCCCTCAGCGGAGCGGGCTTTCGATGATCGCAAGTACGATCTGCCCGTCCAAGGTGGGCAGATCGTACAAGCTTTCAATAAGCATACGACGATCGCAAGACAAAAGTCTTGCAATGGTCGTAAGGTGTATGAGCACCTTAAGTGTTTATATCATGGTGTGGAAATAGAAGGAACTTCTCACTGACAGCACCTAGGATTATCCAAGTACGGTTCTCAAGTAACTGCAGACGAAAGAGATAAGGTGAAATATTCTATTTTTAGCTTGGTTGATTTGTCCTGAATTAAATGAGCTGGTTTTTAAAGATGCTCATAAAAAAAAAATGGTTAAGCAGATGCAATGTATGTGCTGATCCATTTTAAATAAGTTATCTGTTTATTTTCCAATGTACATGTTTCTATTTGTTTTATATACTTACAATTTTTTTAAATGTGTGTGGTCCTTGCTGGACAATACGAATCAGAATTCTCTGTATGCATTTAGTTCTCTCTGTCTACTGTGGCCTGCGTTGTGAATGAATGGCAACAGGGCTAAAATAAGTTATAGAGATCAATGCATACCTTTTGCTGGCTCCTTCACTTTTTTTTTATAGGTGTAGACTTGAGTCACAAAATACACAAGACAATAGAATGAGTGAAAAATCCATATGAGACACAAATGTAATATGAACATAGTATACATGTGCTTTATATTAAACTAGTTTATATTAAAAATTTGTAAAATATCAAATCAATGTCCTTGAACTGGAAAGAGTCCAGAGGAGGGCAACCAAACTCAAAGGGGATGGAGGACCTGAGCTATGAGAACAGGCTACTAAATTTAAACATAAAAGGAGATTAAGGGGGACATGATTTTCATGTATAAAATGTTTACCGGGGATAACATTAGCAGCAAACTTTTTACAATTAACTCCATGACAAGGACGAGAGGCCACCACCTAAAATTGGTGGAGAAAAAAGTTCAGCACAAGGGGCAAAGGGGTTTCTTCTCAGTTAGATCAGTCACGGTCTGGAACTCGATGCCACAGGCTGTGATTTCGGCTGAGAGTGTGGAATCATTCAAGAGGCAATTGGACGATTTCCTCAGGGACCGTAATATACAGGGTTATATATATATATATATATATATATATACACACACACACACACACACACACACACACACGGTTGGACTTGATGGACATATGTCTTTATTCAACCTCAAATACTATGCAACTATATACCACCACCAGTTCTAAAAATAAGACGTGTATCACATGCTCCTATATTTCTACAATATCAGTACAATATCAGTAACTGCAAGCTACGTGAGAAAACAACCGTTTCTCCTAGTATTGTAACAATTTCCTTCGATTCTTGCTTATATATTCTGCTTATCTTATTTGTAATAGCCAACTTCCTTTTGTTCCATTTAAGCTCAGAAAAAAGATCTCATACATTTAAATCATAGATATCCTCACTCTTAAATTGGATACTGTGGATAACACCATGAATTTATGAAGAACAAATTTAGTCAGGGGTTCATTGAACAAACAAGATGTAACGACATCTTCCAAATGAGAAGTAAAGTTTAGAAAAGAACTATAACAATCAAAATGTAACCTTCACCGGGATGGTTCAGTGTGAAGTTATTCAGTTTGGTTTGCTTTGGGAAACAGGGGCAATACTAAACAGGCATTGGCAGGGATTCTAAACTAGATACAGTCTCAGGAAATATCGCCTGTCATCAACCAACCTGCAAAAATATTATTGTGCACCAGTGACACCACCTTAAAAATTGAATATTGGTCACCAGCACTGCTTGCCGCTTCTACTAGGGTTACCTTCCCCTTTTTTTTTCTTCTCTGCTTGCTTTGTGTTTCAGTCATCAGGCCAGAAATAATCCACATACCCTTGTTTATTATGGATATGGTGTATTACAAAGCTCCAAGATTTGTTACACTAGTACATTGTTTATTCAGATGTCTCTTTGTACTGACAAAATGCTTGTTTACGTGTTTTACCTTCTATAATGTGTTTTGCTTTGTTCTAAAATTATCTAAAAAATAATGACAAATTATTTATTTTTAAAAAAGTACACAGTTGGGTTAATTTACTGAAAGAAGAAAATGTTCACTTTGCAAGGGAATTTTAACTTCGCTTAGTAAATATTGTGAACATTCACTTTGCAAATAATATCCATCCAATCATGTGCAAGGACAATACCATAAACAGGAGTTTTGCTTGCACGTAATTGGATAATTGACATCAGCTCAGTCTCCCCATATTTACTAAGTTGAGCGAAAAAGTTCCTTGCAAAGTGAATGGGCTCTACTCCTTCAGTAAATCAACCCCAATGTCTCTATTCCATTCACTCATACATATCTCCAATAAACAGAACATTGAAGGCTAACTGCATACCTTGTGACAGAACAACAACGGTTTCTCCAGGTATTGTAACAACTTCCTTTAGTTTCTTATGCACTCTGCTTATCTGTGTAGCAGCTGACTTCCTTTAAAATTTGTACGATTTCTGCTCAGAAAAACACAATTTTGTACATGTAGTTTATAGATATCCTCACTCCTCAATGCCCATAGATGCTGTGCATGAGTTTATGAGGAACTTATCTACTACAAGAGTCAGGGGTTCATCAAACAAACACGATGTCCTGTCCTGTCCCGTAATTCACCAATAAATACAAAAAAATGACTCCGAAAGCTAGAAAAGTCCCACCATTCCCCCAGTACTTAGATTGGATTTGGATAGTTTGGGATTCATTTCTCATTATCTAACACCTGTTTAAACTGACTTAAATATGCTTGTAAATCATATGATTATCCTGTACATAAACTTGAACTGCATTCTCTATACATCTGTTTTAATGGCCACAAAAAATCATGATTAAAAACCATGGAGAAGAACCCAATAAAATACCTTGCCCCCTTGCTGGTACATATGTTGTAAAGTGACAATATATGTAGTATGACAGTTGTTTATGGATCCCAGAGAAGGGAAGGGAGAAGTGCTGCAAGCCGAGTAGGGAACAGGGCGATTTTTCGCTGAACCTTGTAAAGGGGGGGGGGCTGGAAAACTGGGAGCTAATATAAGATCCCAAACTTCCGTGGTTAGTCCAATTAGTTCGAGTGT